CAAGAAGGCAGAGCTCCTGGGAGAGCAGAAGGGAGTGATGACCCTTGCATTTGAAGTGTCTGCACCCTCTGTGTTAGAGGGAACATGCAGATCTGTGCAAGGGGAGAGACCACTTTGGTTTCTGGGAGTGGGTGTTCGGGGACTTTTTTATTTTATAATTAAAATTCTCTTTGTTTCCATTATGCCTTTTTCTGCTCTCTTGGGTGTAGCTTGACATCCCTCTCTCCCTGTTGTTCAGTCTTGTTACTCTAGACAAAGGATCTCTGGAAGACCTGTCTCCATGGCCAAGAGCTAACGGAGCTGTCTTGGCCTTTTATAGGATATGCAGGAAGTGGAGGAGGTTTGGAAGGGTCAGTGGGGTATCATGGATGAGATTGGTCAGCACCAACTGCTGACAGGACAACTTTTAAGAGGTTCCTTGGAAAACTTGTTTAAAAACAAGTAAAACAAACTTCTCGGTACATCTGCAAACATCCCAGCAGCTGGCCACTGTCACAGTGGAGTCTTTGAACAAACAGCTGAGTTTCCTCTTTGGGATCTGCCAGTTCCTCCCTGTGACTCTTCTGACCGCTCCTGTCTGGTCCTTGCCTGCTGATAAGGGTGATGGCTTATTTGCCAGCTGTCATTTGAGGGCAGAAAAGGAGGCATCTTCCTTCCCCCTGCTCCAGAGGAATTGCTGCTGTGCATGTTTGTTCTCCAGTCACCAGTTTGTTCTCACATCATTTGTCTCTATTCCTCTGGCACTCCACTTGTTAGCAGAGAAACTCTGTAGTACTCTCATGACAAAGGTCCTGGGGGAATTTTATAGGTAACTGTAAATAAGTCTGTATCTCCTTGCTGGTGGCAGGGACAGTTGTGACCTCATGGGTGGCAGGGTGGAGAAATATTGTCTGTTCTTGCACATGAGGAATACCACAGCTGAGCACTTCTGTTGGCGTGTCAAAACATGAATGAATGTCCAGCTGGCTTTGCAGAGAGACAGGGAAGAAAGGGGGAGATCTTAACCTCCCATCAACTGTAAGTAGCCTTGCCTTTAAACAGAGATTAGAGCCATCAGTTATGGATGCAACATGCTCTTTTCCTCAGCGGCATCTGCTTCGCATCCGGAGCCACTACTGTGGCAATTAGCCACATATAAATTATGTGGAGGAACAGCTGAAGGAGATCAAGTCAGTGGAATGGGTTTCCTGAGGGGCTCAGTGACAGCAGGATTAACGCCTGTCCAAGGGGAGCCAGTAATCTCACTGGGAACCCTTACCTTAGTCCCTTATCAGACATCATTAAGACACTGCTCAGTTTGTCAGAGCAGGGAGATAGCTGGTGCTGCTGCAGGCCTAAAGCAACTTGTGGGACTGGCTGGAAAAGGGCTTTTCACAGGACTTTGAATCAAGGAGCAAGAAAAATATCTCAAGACTGTTACTGGACAGAGACAGCGAGTCAAATGCAGTGGTGGTGCTTTGGGGAAGATCCTCCCTCCTACTGGGGCTTTCCAGAAATCCTGCTTCAGGGCTGCAACTGGAAATATTTGCAGGCAAAACCAAACAGCATGGTAGGACCCAAATTCGACTGTGTCTGTTTGGCAATGCCTGTGGTGAGCAGACCTGCTCTGGGATGCCTATTTCAGAAGAGCAGGATGTGCTTGGATGTTGGCAGAACAACTTCATGAACCCTCTGACCAGGACGGCCAGGTTTTGCAAGCAGTGTGGAAAGAAGGTGGAAGGATCTCTTTAGCAGCAATCATCTTTTGGGAGAGAACATGGGTGGAAGTTACTCTGCAGAGCTAAGCCTTCCCGTAGATCTCCCAGTACAAAAAGCATCATCTGTGATTTGTAGATCTCTCTGCTTTTTTGCTGTATTGAAGGTTCCCACGATGCATTTGCTCTGCTGCCACCCTCTGCTTTGACCCAGTGGAGCTAAGCAGGTTGCCCTGGCTTGAAGCACGTCACCAAAACCAGATCAGGGCTGAGAACAGGGCTGTCAGGGGGTGCCTGGCTGTGCAAAGACAGCTCAGAGCAGGAGCCCATGGCTGCTGTCAGGGAAGGCAGCCGTGACAGCTCTCAAATGGTTGGTGACAGCAGCACTGATGGCCTGACACTCACCCGCCTTTTAATCTGTGCTCTGTAACTTTCATCTCTGCCTGGCTGAGCACCTTCTCTCCTCCCATCCTTGCTGAGCTGACAGTGTCACCCTTCACGGGACTGCTGGGCTCCTCCTGGGGGCAGGGGCCGTCTCCTCTGTCTTGAGCTGGTGCCTTGCTGAGAAGAGCGGTGGGGAGGTTTGCAGAGTCTTTTCTGGCCAAACCTGGGGGCCCCCATGACTCACCCAGTGCAAGTCACTGCTCCCATCTGCCTTTCAGGCAGCACATCCCAAAATGGTGCAAAATCCCTGCTTAGACACTTTTCTGCCATGATCTCCTGTAGTCAAGAAGCTTCCTTAGCAGAACTGGGCTGCCAGGGCTGGTGTCTGGGGCTGGGAAATGTGCTTAACACTGGCTCATGGGGAGACTTTTTGTTTACTCAGATACACTGGGAATCCCATTCCAGCTGCAGGGGAGGCATGAAGTGAAGGGAAAACTGGCCATGTTTTTTTTCTCCAGCCTGTGGCTGCACCCAGCTCAGGGCAGGGCTGGCACAACCCTTGTGCATCAGCTGGCCCTGCTTGGGTACCTGCATGGCTGGCACTGGGTAGAGGTGGTACAGGGCTGGGGAGTGAAGGGAGCCCAGGAGGAGCTGGGCAGCCCTGGAGCAGCTGAGGGACTGCAGAGCCTTTCCCTGAGCACTGCCTGTCAAGGATGAGGCAAGAATAGCTGAATCAAGGCTGGGAAGAGGCCCCAGCATGCCTGGGTGGAGCTGGTGGCATGGTGTAGGCAGAGTGCAGCAGGAGACATGAGGATTGGGAGAAGAGGGATGTGACACCTCCTCACCCCATGGTTGGGTGCTCCCAAAGCCCAGCTGCTTCCCCACAGAGGTGACCAGCTCCCACCTCCACACCCTGCAAGCATCAGGGGATCACAAATCCCCTGCAAACACCAGGCACTTTCTGTGATGGTTTCCTGCTGCAAATCATTTCTCTCTGCTGCAGAGATAAATGTTTTTATGACCTGTGGTCATAAAAACATGGTGTTTTGACCCAGATGTGGCAGCCTTGAAGGGAGATGGACACTTGTCCAGCATGCACATGATAGACCTTCACTGCTTGGCTGGGCACAGGTGGGCATCTCTAACCTGGCCATACCACACTCCTCCCAGACCCCTGTGGCTGGAAGTGTGGCCCCTTGCAGGTGCTGATGCCCTGGTGCAGGGTTGTGGCTGTTTGACCCAGCTCTAGGCAAGGCTGTGCATCCCAGGAGCCATGAGGGATATCATGGGAGTTTGTCCATGAGCAGGGCATGATGAACCAGGGAGGTGCCTGCATGTTCCTGACTCAGTGGCCACTGCCTCTGGGACATGCTTAGGACTGGGGAGCTGGAAGAGTCCCAACACTGAGCTCAGAGGAAAATCTGCCCAACCTGCTACGTCAACAGCAGGGAGGGGTGCCCAGGTAAGAGCCAACAACTGGGATTTCATGGTTAAAGGCACCAACGTTGGGTCAGTTATTGAAAACAAGAAAGGATAAAGAGATGCCTCACTTTGCAAGGAACAGCATGCAAGGAGTCTTGTGCAAAATAAAAAAGGAGAGGAAAACTCTATCTCCATTACCTGGCATCTGTGAGTAAATGTGGGCTGTGGAGTCTATTCCTGGGACTGCTCCCCAGGGCCCTGCCATCCTCTTCCTCCAGCCAGCCTCATCTGTGACCTCCATCAGTGACAAACACAATCCCACCCCTGCCTGCCCTCAATTAACTTCCTTCTGGCCATACCACCCTTCAGGACAGTATGATTCACGTTTAACTCACAGAGTAGTTCACTAAAAGCTAAAAATGGTAAGACTTCTGTTAGCTTTGGGAACGTCAAAGCCAGCCCCACGCCACCTTAATAGCCTGGCTGCTACAGGGGTAGCATTTGCCTAAGGTGGACTGATCTCTGTGTTGTCTCTCCTTGTATTTATATAATTTGGCCCTACAGCAGCAGAATTTAGAGCTTGCAATTTCCCATCCTTTTAAAATTAGACCTCTATAATAACAAATCTGCCTGTCCTGTGCAGTTGGTGGTGTCGTGCCTTTGGCATTACCCTGTTTGCATGAACAGCATCTGTAACACAAGATAGTGGGCAAAAAATGTCAAGACCCCCAGCAAGAATTAAAAAATTCATTAAGCTACAATAGGCCAGTCATTGCTGGGTAATTATTAAGCTGTAAGAATCACTAATTGTCTTATTAGCATTAAACAATTATGCAAATAATGGAAAACATACCAGAAGAGTAATAATATTACCTCCCTTTCACTCTCTCTGTTTTGTTTGGTTTTTTTTAACCAATAATGAGATTCAAAATCTAAAGTGATGCTTACAGTTTTATTGGGAATGCCTTTGGAGAGGAGTGAGACCTCTAAGGGCACTCAGCACAGGGTGAAGGGGACATCCCAAACCACATCTATCATGAGTTGTCTCCCAGAGCTTGTAGTGCCCCCCACACCAGGCAGCAACACAGGGACAAGCAGGTGCTGATGGCTTCGGAGGACACCAGTGGCTGCTAGGACAGGACTGGAGAGAGTCCAAATTTTGTACTATCATAGATATTCTGTGGGAGTCCCTGTTCTCCCCCAAATAAATCACATAGTGCTTCAGGTTTGGTCTGGGTGAAAACAAGGCAATTTGTACTTTGTCAGATCAATTCAGTGCAAAAGTGGAAAGTTCTGGCCTTTAGAGTTACTCTATCTCAAGGATTTTATTGCTATTAAGTTAGTAACCTGAGCTAAGAGCAAGCTTCTTTTCCAGATGAGGTTCCAGCTGGATTTCAGGGTTCAGCAGTAAACTGAATGATGAGCAAGTGTCTTTGTGTTCCTGTGAAACAAGACCTCATTTACCCCCACCACCAGGAAAAGGAAGCTTCACTTATTCATGTCCACAAAGGGCCTGGAAAAGGCAGAGTGCTTTTTTGCTTCAGCACGTTCACACTGTTAATGACTAACAAATTGTATTGGCTTTACAGGTTTTAAACTCTGCTCCACTGATAAGACACGCATTCCCAAGTGCCCAAGCCAGCTCCTGCTCCGGGGTGGGTCCTGTTCCCGTGGTGATGCCTTGATAAACATGGGGTCACCTCACCCAGTCTCGTGATCCAAAAAATTTTTGATCAGCAGAACACCTTTGCTTTTGCTTTATGATAAGAATGGTGACATTTGCAGCTCCCAGAGGATGGAGGGAGCGCTCTGCCATGGCAGAGCAAAGACTGGGGATCACCACCACCTGTCTCCCCTTCCTCGGAACAGAAGGGGAGATCACCTTCCGAAATAAATACCATCCCCAATACTATTGGAGACCTGCTTTTAGCTCCCTGGGACTGGTGACCCACCAAGCTGCTGTTTATGGCCTTTTTATTTTTCCTCTCGCTTGGTGACTAGGATGCAGGATGTGATCAGTCTCTGGAAATAACTTTCTGAGTCTGTCCCTCACCTCGCTGTTTCAGGGGACAGGAAAGCCAGCAAATCATCTGGATGGCAGGCAGGAGGGACAAAGGAGAGAGACTTTTTTCTGTTTTGATGTGACATTGTGTTATACTCGATTGACAGACAGAACACACTTTGCTCTGATGCTCACTGTTTTTTTTCTTTGAGGTTTTAGGATAAAGGATTTACATTTATGAGCTTCTCAGGGGCATGTGTCACAGAGAACCTTCCCAAAGTGCCTTTTGCTGTAACTTCACATTTCACTTTCATCTTTTTTCAGTGGAAATTCTTGTTCAGGCTTGAATTTGGTAATAACTTTTTTTCTGCTACTTTTGCAGGTCAAACTAGTCAGACTCAGAGGAGAGGCAGGTTATCACACAGAAGCATTTCTGTGTGAGTAGCTGTGAAATTGTTGGGGCTTTCTTTTCCCTGTTTTGGGCTTTTCTGTCTCTGTGGAGTCAGCCTGGCTGCCTTCTGGGAAGAGAGAGCTGATGAGGCATGTTACTGATGAGATGCATACTTTTTCCTTCTTGTTTTGAATCCCTCAATTTAATACAAGCCATTGGCACGGGAATGTATGAGAGCTCTTGGCTACAACACACACTTCCTATTGTTTGGAGTGAACAGCCCTGCACACAGCCTGCGGCAAAATTAGGAAGTAGCTCAGTTTGATCAGCTAATTTCTCACAATAGTTAAAAGATGTAATTTTTCTATGATGTTACTCTCTCTTATGAAAAAAAAAAAGCCTCACTTGCTTTTCAGCTTCATGAGGCCTCAGCATTGTTTGATACAAGGAATTGACCTTTCCTGTCTTCCAGCCCTCAAGCTAACAAATGTTGGTTGTTTTTCTTTGGGCTTTAGGGTGGTCCTAGTCATGTATTTAAGGTTTTTTCCCTACTAATGGTGAAGTGCATTCTGCTGCATATGGGATCCAGGATAAATTTAAGACGTGATGGCAGAGAGTGATCCTCACTAATCACAGTCATAACAACTGTCAGGAAGCACTCAGCATTTCTCCATTGCAGTTTGGTATCTAGGAAGAGAACTGGGAGGGACTGAGAAAGAGAAAGAAAAGTGTCTGTAGGTAGCGAAGAATAAATCAGTCCATGTCTGTGGTATGCTGCTCCAACAAGCTTCCAAACATGCCTTGGGAAGAGATCTAGGGGAGCAGGCACTGTGCTTTGCTCCATGAGCCAGCTGTGCATTGCAGGTGGGAAACCTGACCCAGCAGCACTGGGAAAAGCTCAGTGAGCAGGGGCAAGGTCTGCGAAACAGGATAAGGACATGTAAGGCTCCTCAAAGGAAAAGTTGTAGAAAGGAAAAATACAATCCAGAGTCAGGATTTGTAACCATCATCCCATGAGGAACATCCTGGCAGCACAGCAGCTGTGGGTAATATGTAGGCAGCTGTGCAGGCAGCTCTGCTCCCTTCCTGCCCCTTTCCTCTCTCTAGTGCTGGTTAGTTTACCTGTTGGTGCATTAAAGACTCATCATAACTGTAAACTCCTACAGAGCTCTCCTTAATCACCAACTAAGAACACTGCACAAGGCTCTGATACCTGTACTTTGGAAAGCATTACTGGCCCAGCAGTAATACTCTTACTGCATTAGCAAACTCCTTCAGTGATGTCATTTTAATCACCTCAGTGTATAATGCAGACCTGCTTCTTCTGGTGCACCAAGGGCTGTACCTCCAGCCTAACCCTCTCCTGGGATGCACAGCTTGGAGCCAGCAACTCCAAGTTTCTTCTTCTGGTGTCTGCAAGCCTGGATGCCTTTGTGGTACAACCGACTCGGTCAAAAACAGGACTCAGTGGGAGGGAGGGACAAGGTGGAACATAGTGGCCTGTGATACACAGGAAATCACAACTGCTCTCCACAAGTCCAGCCTGGCTTTCCGCTCCATGGGTCTGCATCCCCTGCCACCCAGCCCCAGCTGCCCTTCCCAAAGCAGAGGTAATGAGAAGGGACTAACTGCATCAGCTCATTAACCGAGTTCGTTAGAAGACAGATTGTCATGTTAAACAAATATATTTTTAAAAAACTAAGTCTCATTCCCTGCACCATGCCCCATCTGGGCCATTAAATCTGAAAGGGGTAAGTACAGCTGTGTCAAAGCTGTGCTCAGAAGCAGATTTTCACTGTTTGTATGAACAGCAACTGGCAACCACTCCGTTTTCAAACATCATTTCCTTCTCCTCGTTTCCCAGTGCTGTACTACATCTATTGCAAACGTGGCAGGGGATGCACACTGCTAAACAGTCTTTGGGACTTACAGAAAGAAACCCCACAAATACATTTCCTAAACCCAGCACATCCTCTTTATTTCTCACCAAGCTCCATGTTACCTGAGGATGGGAAGGGCCGCCCGTTGTTAGCCAGGCTTTTCATAAATTATGCAAATTTTATTAATCTAATGAAAAGGTGGTGTGGAATTGTGGGACAGCTCAGCTTTCAGGGCTCCAGTGCCACAAAGGCAAGTGTCTTTTTTGAGGGAGGGGTGAAAAAACTCGACTTTGAGTTAATCCAGCATTTCTTGTGATTGGTCCCTTGGTAGTCTGATTAATTTTGAGTGCAGATGTTTCTGTTTTCCTTCACAGAACACGCCCAGGACTTGGGAGCAGGCTCACCGTGCCATATTTCCTCCTCACCACACCACTCTTGCTATGGTCGTGCAGCAACATATGCTAAGGCCTTATTACAAGGGATTCCTATAAAAGGCATAAAGGATTAATAATGTATTTATAACACAACTTTGTTTTAGTATAAAGTGATCTATAAATTTGTAATAAATGTTTTATAATGTTTTTGTAGCCTGTTATAAATGATAAATGGGAGACTATAGATGCCACATCAAATATTCATGCTGCATTGTGTGCATTATTATGCCATTACTGTTCAGGAAACCATTAATAATAAAGTGAATGGAGATGTAAAAGTTGCTGACATGCCCAGCAAGCCATTTATAATGAAATGTATAATCCTTACCATAAAGTAAATACATTGGCCAGTGATTGTTGATGAAATGGAAACACTCTGAATTATTCGTGAGGTATTTATATATTAATGTATATTATCCATATCATGTCACAGAAACGCTGTTAATATATTATATGTATTATTAATTATTTTTACCTAATTTATAGGCAGCTCTTTAAGTGTTACCTTGTCTCTTCTGCTGTTTTGGCAGCTGCATGAGGTCTGGTGAGTTATTTTATGGGATGTGTGTGTTGTGGGGCAGCTGTAATGAACTGGCTACCACAGTGCTGGCTGGAGGGAGCCCAGCAGGGCAGGACGGCAGCAGGGGCCACCTTCCCGCTCCCTCACCCACCATCCCAAGCTTCTCTGTGGGGATGGGGTGCAGAGGTACATGGCTGTGGGTCTTTTCCAACCTAAACCACTCCATGATTCCATGACAGCTGCCAATGCCTGATGTGCTGCCCCAGGATGGACAGACCCTCTGGCTCCAGCTGGCCTCCCTCCCTCCCCGACCACCATGAGATCTCTGGGCAGCCCTGCTTCGTCCTCCCTCCTCCTCCTCCTCGTTCTTTGGCCGGTGGTATCTCAGGAGGGTGGGAAAGGGGCTCATGGTGGCTCCCGCACAGCACTTGTACTTGTTTTCACACCGACAGAGAGAGTGGTGATGCTGGGCATAAATCCGCCTTCCCAGCGCGGGATTACCCAGAGGACAGTTAAAGTTAGGCGATTTATTGCAATTTTTAACTTTTTTCCTCCAAATGGCGGGGAAAACACCCTTCCCAGCGACTAAAAACGATTCACGACTCCCCCGCTGCGGCTGCCCCTTCGAGAAGGAGGAACCCGAATGTTGTTGTGAGGGAGCAAAAAAAAAACCAAAACAAACAAACAAAAAAAAGCCCTTGAAGCGCGCTGTGGGGGGTCCCGTGTCGCGACAGGGCGGTCCCGGGGGTGCTGCTGCTGCCCCGGTGTCCGTGGGGCGAGGCGGCCCCGCAGCCGCATCCCCGCGTTCCCCGCCGCTCCCCCGCTCCCGGCCGGCACAGCCCAAGGGGAGGAGGCCCCGGGGGCCGCCCCCGCCCCTCGCCCGCCCCTTTCCCCGCCTCCTCCCGGCCGGTCCGGCCGCCCCCCGCCGGCAGCTCCGGCCGGGCTGGGCACGGCTGGGGCGGAGGGTCCGCAGCCCTGCCCGGCCCTGCCGACCCCCGCGGGGCCCACCGGGGCCATGGCCGCCATCCAGAACCTGCAGCTCTGGTGCCGGCAGCAGTGCGAGGGCTACCGCGATGTCAGCATCACCAACATGACCACCTCGTTCCGCGACGGCCTCGCCTTCTGCGCCATCCTGCACCGACACCGCCCCGACCTCATGTGAGTACCTGGCTGGGCGTCGAGGTCCGCGCCGGGGCTGCCGGCTCGGCGGGGCTGGGACCCCCCGCTCGTGGCCGGAGACACTGGCCGGGCTGCGGCCATCCCGCCGTCCGTCGGGCTGCAAACCCGGCATCCTCCATCTGTCCCAGAACCCTTGCTGAGCTGTGGCCATCCCACCATCCATCGGGCTGCAGATGGGCTGTGGCCATCCCGCTGTCCATCGGGCTGCGGCCCCACATCCTCCATCTGCCCAGGACCCCTCACCAGGCTGTGGTCATCCCGCCATCCATCGAGCTGTGGACCCCGGGCCCTGGGCTCTTGCCTTCCCTGTACGCACATCACCCACCAGCAGCAATCTGCTCACACCCACGCTCAAAATCTCCAGGAGAAGAGCTCTGCTCTCCCTCTGCCTACATGCGCTTTTCCCCCCCCACCTATATTTTCCCTTTTTCCCTTTTCTTCCATCTGTGGCTGAGTTATAAATGTTTTAAATGTGTCCTTTCCATTGCAAAACAAGTTCAGGCACTGATCTTTGAGGGAGCGTTTCCTTCTTTGCTGTTGTGTTTGCTCTGGCTGGGCTCTCCTTGCTCAGCCCGACGGCAGCGCTCAGGAGTCGGGAGGCGAGGGCTATTTAAACAAAATGCAGTAAAAGGGCAGGGCCCGACAGCTGCTGTATTCCTGCACATCCTTGTTTTTCCCATCTAGAGCTCTGCCTGTGGGAAGTTAAAGTGCTTTCCATGCCCTGAGGGTTTTGAACTGTCCCTGCCCAAATGTTAACAAAAGGGGGTCACAGATCCTGCTTCATAATTGGTTTTTCTTTTGGTTTTGTTTTTACTCCTGGGTTCTTTGGGCTTTGAGATGGGGGAATTGTGAGGGGAGATAAAGGCAAGGGAGCAGCTGAAAGCGTGCCCAGGAGTATTTTTTGAAGCATTAGGTCTCTCCTGGTCAGATGTGTCCAGCTGGTAGAGGAACAGGTTGGGTGGTCTTTACTGCAGTTTTCCTCCTGTCCCATGTATTCTGCCTTTTTCCTCATGCTCCCAGGACAGCCTGCCACATGGGTTTGTGTGCAGAGATCCCTCTTACACGTATCTCACTTCTGGTGGAACCCAAGAGAAGGTCTCCTCCTGTTTTCTCTCCTCTGTTGTGCTGAAACTTGAAAAGAGGCTGGAGCAGGCCTGAGCAGCAGGAGGTTAGTGCAGGAGCCTCAGGCACACTTTCTGTGTTGTCCCTAGTGCTTGGGCAAGTCACCAGGGTGTTGCTGTGTGTGACTTCCTGACATGCTGTCATGTCCATGTGACTCCAGATATTTCCTTTCCTTCCTTCGATTCACAGTCCCAAAAATACAAAATGCCAGGGCAGAAAGGTTGAGGTGGCCAGGAGGGGCTCGTAGGGGGGCTGTGGCTGCTTCCTGTCAGACTCTGTTGCTGGCCCATCTGGAGCATGGCTGTACACAGGGGCTCAGCAACTTGAGAACTGGAACAATCCCATTGCCCAGTTTAGTGGGTTGTTTATAATCCTTGAACTGTGCAGCAAGGGTTGTGGATAGACATATCTTAAATAAATTCTTCTGTGCTGAAGAGGGAAGATGTTCCTTGTGGCATCTCTCTGTTCCCATTCATTTTCTTTTATGATGGACACTCTGCCTGACTTTATTCAGGACCTTACAGAAGCTCTTTCTGACTTGGATCAGCTCGGCAAGGACTGCCTGGAGGTTAAAGTAGGAGAAGCTTTTATCTGTGACCTCCCTCCTCAGTGTCAGTGCTGTAATACAGGAAAGCACCAGGTGTATCCTTGCTGGGCAAAGTCCTGCTGGAAAGAAATTACACTTTCAAGTGGCTGTTGGCCAGGGCTGCCAGGTGTCATGTGTTGGATCCTGGAGCAGAATACTTGTGCAGACTGTCACTGTATCTGTAAAAGCTTCTCTGACTGTTCTTGGTGCAGGAGACACCAGCAGAGAAATGCAGCTGGGTGCACATGTGGCTTGTCACTCCTGCTTCCCAGGGGCTCATCCTGGGCTCCTGCCCTTGCTTCTAGCAAAGATCCCTGTTAAAGATTAAGACTGTCAGACTGAATATAAAACTAGGAAAGGGTAATTGGTGTTTGGAGCTCTTGGTGTGCTTGCAGCAGCTCTGCTGTATAAATTGCTTGCGGAACAATTTAGTCACGGCATCAGAGTTTTGCAACAGTGTGTTTTCTGTCTTGGTTTATATAAATGACATTCTTGGGCTGAGTGCAGGGGATTTCTCCTTGCAGGAGCCTGAGAAATTACCAGGAAAACTTCAAGCAATTGCAAAACATGGACATAATCACAGGCTTCTCTTATGGGATATGTGGCTCAGATGACAGGCTGGTGGGGGTCTCTCCTCCCTTCCTGTTTTCTTGATGAAAACCAAAAAACTACGGTAACTTCTCCAGAACTTAGCTGATGTTGGTTTGTGTGTTATCAGTGAACAGGGCAGGCTGTGTAAAATTAGAAATGCATTTCCCACTCACTTCCCACTTATACAAGGATGCTCAGGGAGAGTGAAGATGCATGCTGATTTACCATGGAAATTCATTTTTTTTCGTCCCAGCTGAGGAGTGCTTCATAGCCAGCCCCAGCCAGGCACACACGCTGTGTCAGGCAGGTCCCAGCCCGTTTTCTGGGATGATTGTGGAGTCCTGAGACTCCTCTGTTCAGAGGGACATGAAGCCTCGTGGCAGCATGGTGGGAGGCTGAGCATAGCAGCTGCCATGTGTGGTGGTGATGGTTGTGCAAGCTCCAGCCACAGTTTTAGTGACCTTGGCCTGATAAGTGAGTTAGAAGAGGCAGGGTAGCTGTGCACGCTCGCTCAGATATTAATGGCAGATGTCAAGGAAAGGTTTTGATTAAGAACCTTCTCTTCATCTGGGATCTTGCTCTTTCACAGACTGCAAGCTGGTGAATGGGCTGGTTGTGAAATCCCTCTTGGCAGCTGAGCAGCAGTGGATGCCCTTTCCTTCAGCAGCATTCCCCAGGTCACTGTCAGCTCAGTGGGGCAGGATGAGGCTGAGGTCACCAGTGCGGGCAGGGAGGGTCCTGACCCCGCTGAGGATGGGTTGCCTGCAGTTTCCATGTCCTTAGCAAGAGGCTGAGGTGAAGCAGAGCCTCCTGCTTGGCTTCATGGGTTTGTGGATTGTGTGACAGGTGCAGGTGTGGGGAGGATGGTTTGGGGGTCAGGGGGCCTTGTCTGTTGTCAGTCACCCCGGCAGCACACTGCAGCTGCCAGCAAGAGCACAGCAGGGTGGAGCAGCGCTCCTGAGAGGAGGATGAGCAGGAGCGTGGAAGGGGGCCATCTTCCACCTGGAATTAATTCCCAGCCTGTCCCTTTCCCTCAAGTGTTTGCACCTCCAGAAAGGTGCAAGAGTGCAGCTGGAAGGTCCTTTTCCCAGCAGGGCACACTGGATTTGAGCCCCCTGTCCAAGGACTGTAAGCTGGCAAAGGGCACCTCGCTCTTTCTCAGTGATCCTTTTGACTGCTCATATCTCATTGTCTACGGAGAAAACAGCACAAAAGAGCCAAGAAGCAGAAACTTTTTTGGTGCCATCATGGCTCTGGGTTTTACTTTCTTTTCTCAGTCTGCTCCAAGGTCAAGTTTCCAATCAAGTTAGTGCTTGCAGTAGCAGCAGCAGAGATTCCTCCTATGGAAGCACATGTGCTTGCAGAGGACTGTGGCATGTTTGCAGCTGGAGTAGTGGGTGGTCACGGAGATTTGTGGACCTGAGAAATACACAGCCACTCTTTTGCAAAGGAAAGGATTTTTTTTGGGAGCTAAAAACTTCGCCTTTATTCCTATGCTAGTGAAAT